GATCTTTCTATTATATCATTATACTGTATTAAAGAAACATTATGCTGTTTTTTGTCAGAGTCTCTTCACAATGAATTTATTGGCAAACACAAAAGAAACAAAGAAATAAATGAAAACTTCTACATTTGGAACAGATGACCTTTCCTCTGGTGTTTTCTGTGTGTGAGAATACAAGGTGACCTAGAAAAGCAATTCAGGAGTTTGCAATATAAATTAGCCAAAAGTGGTCACCCACCCTCAAACATTTACAGTGCCAACCATTTCATCAGATCCCTGAGTACAGTCTCTAGTCAGCACCAGGAATTATTTATGTGGTTCCAGATGCTGGATGAGACGATCTAACACTATCTAACACTCTTTTGTAGACAGTAGTTTAAAATGAGTGCATGTGCACCTCCCTTTCTGAACTCACGTTTCAAGATCATGGTCTTCTCAAGATGACCCACAATATAGATCTACGAAGTTCTAAATAACATCATAAAAGCATTTTGCATTTGAAACCATTACAATGGTGCCTTGACTTACGACCGTCTTGACTTGCGACCAATTCGAGTTATGACCAGCTCCGGTCGCAACATTTTGCTTTGACTTGCAACTGGTGCATTGAAATATGACAGGAAAAAAAAGTGGAGGGAAAGGCAGGGAAATTTGAACTGCTAACCATTAGTAAGCAAAGAGGCTGCTTCTCTGTACAGTGGGGTCTTGACTTGAGAACTTAATCCGTATTGGAAGGCAGTTCTCAAGTCAAAAAGTTCTCAGGTCAAATCTGCCTTTCCCATAGGAATGCATTGAAAACCATTTGATCTGTATCTGCTCTTTTCCGTCTATAGAAACTAATGGGAAGCTGCTATTCTGCCTTCGACCACTAGAGGGGAATATTTTGTTTCTTTTTTTTCTTAGGTCAAGAAAGGTTCAGGGAAGGCAGGGAAAATACAGTCCAGGCAGTCCAGTACCAGGCAGTCCGAAGACTGTCTCCCAATCGACTCTCTAAATGCTGGGAGGAGTTAGGAAGCAGACAGGCACCCTTTTCACTGGCCAACAGTTAACTGAAAGTTCACATTTTGCACTTTCCCTGCCTCCCTCGTGGGTTTTTTTCAGTTCTTAACTCAAATCTAAGTATGTAAGTCAAGTCAATATTTTCCTATGAGAGTGGTTCTTAAGTCAAAATGTTCTTAACTCAAGTCGTTCTTAAGTCAAGACCCCACTGTAGCTCCTTCAACCCAGTGGTTAGACAGTGTGCATTCGCAGAGAGGCTTCGGACTGCCTGGTACTGCTTTTTGCTTTTTAAAATTTTAAAAACTGCCTTTTCTGGGTGAGTAATGTACAGGGTTTCACAGCATGGGTTTGGGCTGGGTGAGTGGGTGGGGTTATGTTTCTGTGCTGTAATGGGTCTTGCAGTGCGTTTTTTAGTCCCTGCTTGAACACGTTTGTTTGATTCTGTGGCTCTTAGGGTTTGGGCTGGTGGGGGGCGTTATGATGGGTCTTGCAGTTTTTAGTCCCTGCTGGAATTGGGTTTTTGTTCCCGGCCGGAACAGATTAATCACATTTCAATGTATTCCTATGGGAAATGGTGCTTTGAGTTACAACCAACTTGAGTTACGACCATCATTCCAGAATGGATTAAGTTCACAACTCAAGGCATCACTGTATTTAATAATCTAGTTAAAATGTCATATAAGAGCCTGAATCATCCCAGCCTCAATACTTTTTTTGTGTGTGACTGGACAGACGCTTGGTATTCCAAGCAAAAGCTGTCATTCCATAGAAATTGGACCAGGCATACTTCAAGGACTATATTGTGGAATCTGATTAAAGACTTATAAGAATTCAGACATAAACATTTAAGAACATATATTTGAATCCCTCCTTCCCCAAATTCAATTTCTCAACAAAATTAAATAGTTGATGAGTGTGTGGTCAGCCTCCAGCATTATGGGGCTGGCGGCAGAGGGTTCCCTGGTACAAACTCCATGGGCTCAGCTTCTGGAGCACTTTATTCAGAGTTACAATATAGTCTTGCAAAAATCTCTGCATGCTGGAGAGGTGCATATTGAAAGCCATTTGCCAGTCCTTGAATACCCTCTCCCTCAGTAGGGTTCTCAGTTAACTGCACTGAGTGTCCCTTTAGTTCAAGTCTGTCAAAACAAGACTTTGTCTGGATAAAACGTCTGTACTATCCTTGACGGAGGCTCTGGTAAACCAGCCAGTCCTTTCCCTTAGTCCTTGTCTATCCAGGATGATACAAGGGAAGGCTACAGTGTCAGCCAGCTGTCATCCCTCTGGCAGAGAGAGGTTCTGCCACTCTCCCAGCTCCATCTGGCAGAAGCAGCTTCTCCTTCTTCCTCTTCTATCGACCGGCATAATCCTAAAACCCTGTCTTTACTCCTTCTTATCTGCCTCCTGGCTGTCTCAAGTGGGTGTTACTCGTTAAGCTGCTGCACCTTCCACAGCTGTCTTCTCTCCCTCTTTCCCTGTGCCTTAGCCTTTTCCCCTGGGTGAGCTCAATGTGGCCCGACAGCTCACTGTGAGCATCCCAGCTCCCTGGCATGCTCATCTCATCACAGTTGGTCAGGAGATATGTCCCCCACATATGAAAAACAAATGAGGTCATATTTCAAAACTTTCAAGCGGTAGTTCCATAGTACTATAGGTGATTTCAATAACAATTCAATACTAAGGTTTGCAAATATTGAGAGTGTTCCTAACACTCATAATACTAAAGGACATTGGCCTGAACCAGCTATATCCAAGTTTATCTACAACACTCAGCAAATACTGATAAATCTCTTGACTTTCAGTGCTGCTATTCTAGTCTCATTCTGCTTATATAAAACGCTGCCAATCATGTAAAACAATATGCTGGATTTGTAGCGTACATACATGGACTATCATGAGATGACTAGTAATCATTTGTCTGAGAAATAAAGAATGTTGGATATATTCTACAGTCACTACAGTACAAATAGAAGGAATTAACTATCTACAGGACCTCCTATTTATGATTTAAGGGAATATTTGTGTAAATAGTATTTGCTGCAATCAAAGGCAGAAGAGCCTGTGGTTAAATTCCCACAGAGCTGTAACTTTGGAAAGCATTAAGAAAATGGAATAGTGCTTGCATAGGAAAGAACTAGTTTCATTGTTTTTCCCTCTTTGTATTTTTCCATGATTAAAAACAAAACTTTAGTATACCTCTTTTTTTTTAAATACAAGTAAGTAATTGAGGAGAACTCATGTCTTATTGGCCCTAAGGAGCCAAGATCAACCCTGGGTCATTTCTTATCTATATAATATTTATTTATATATTTCTCATGTTATACAGCACACAATATGCTTCTTAGAGAGCTAATTCATAAAATTAATTGAATTTAATGAGTTTTATTTGTATTCTAATTATGAACTTGAATTTAATTCTATTTTAGTATTTGTCATTTTACTGTATTTTCATATGCTATTGTTTTAAGTTGTCCTCTAAGCTGCCTTAGAACTTGGTTTTGGGAGAAAGGTAGCAAACTATGCAATAAAATAAAATAAATTAAAATAAAGTTTTATTGCTGGATTCTTCATCCGTATTTAGACTTCTGTTGCAGGCATGGGGACTCAGAGAAGAAGCCATGCTAAGCTATTATATCAAAGGTAACAGTCTGCAATCTTAAAGACAAAAAATTAGTATGGCACTTGTTTTCCATGCTACACATTTCATCATAACACATGATATTTATACTATCTCTCATTCTTTCTCTCCTCTCAATGTCTTTCTGACACATAGGCTAGAATGGCACACATAGGCCAAGACTTAATTTCTACAATATGGAACAGTAATCATTCACAATGGTGATGAGACAATTGTTTCTTTGAACTGAAACTCCCAGAGTTCACCAGGAATTGTCCCAGGCAAAATCATGGGAGATGCACCCCCCAAAACTGTAGTTCAAAGAGGAACTTTTCTCACCTCCATGTGGACCTCAGTCATCATTATGTTGGCTTTTCAAGAAGAAGGAAACTGCTGATGTGAGTCTAAGAAATTATGGGATGGTTAGGCTTACTGCTACTAGGCTCTATAAAGGGAGCTGCTCAAAGGACTACCCATCCCATGCTTCCTTGAGGCTCACATGAGCCTTTACTACTCCTAGGCACAACAGGGGAGAGTTTCCTTAAGGGCCAATATAATGGCGACGAGGCCCACATGTGTGAAAAGTTTCCCTTGAAAGTACAGTTTTTGGGCTGCATCTCCCAAAATTCTGCCTGGGGGAATTCTTGGTGAATTCTGGGAGATGTAGTCCAAAAGCAAGGAATGTCCCATGCCTTCTTCACAATAAAAACACTAACTTGTGTCTTGATAGAAATAGCAACTGATGTGAGCACAAACTTCATAACTTTGCTTTATTTTCTAACATTCATTGTGGAAAATAAACATGTGATTATAATTAAGTCATAAGTGACTAAAATAAAGTATGTAGCAATATTAAAAGTTAGCATTCTAATATTAAGGTTTCCCTTGAAGTGTTTTTGCTGTAGAATGCTAATACTGAAAAAATTATAATGTTCTAATAAAATCCTTCTATTTTTTGGAAACTGTTGGGGTGGTGGGGCTCACAAAAATTTTCCAAAGAAACACTGATTCCAAAGAAAGATAAGCAAATAAAATTAAATCCAATGAAAGCCTGCTGGTGGAGTTTGTAAAGTTTGCTACCATTTCCTGTTCTCTGAAGTCTGGAGGATTTTCTAGCTCTACACAGTTAGTATTGGGGCATACAGGGTGTTGTGGACAAGATAAGAATCCCCCTCTGCTTGGTTATTCTGGACTGAAAATCCACCATCAGAGCCTGCCCGCAACCAAAAACAGACGGCTAGCTACATAGTGTCACTGAGATCTGGATAATAAAGTCAAACCCCTAAAGTTCCATTTCTTATCTGTGTGCTTTCAGTACTACTCAAAACAGAAAGACCTGATAAGATTCTGTCACATGTAATAATGACAATGTAATCAAAGCATTCACCTGTGTTAATTCATTGCTGTCCACAAGACCACTGTTGTCTGCATCATAATATTTAAACATCTGATCGACCAATAATTTCTTCAAAGCCATTTTATCTTCAAAATGCCTTTCTCTTGATTGCAACATGTATCTTCTGTTCTGAAGATCCAGCAGAAAATTTTTCATCTTCTTGTAGTCAATAGACTTACAGTTGTCCCCTGCCAAGATAATGTTGCATTTAAAGTTACTTGAAATAACTTTTTACAAACTTTCCTGAGACAGAAAAGTTAACTGTTTCAGTTAGTACAAATGTTACAGATGAATTTTGATTTCTAAGCTTCTCTAAATATGCCCAGATCTGTCCAGATTCATAACAAAAAAAGGTGAAAATTAAGTGCAAAAGAGTAGATGACTGCTATGTCAGACTTTTAGAACATGACTGGTGCTTTAGAAATGTTCAACACATGAGCTCATGAATGTTCCCATATCTGAGCTATCCAGTCAGAACTTCAACACCGATAATGGTCATTTTCTAAAACAGTGTGGTGACTGGTCCAAATATAAATACAAATTATAAAAATAAGTGGTTATATTTGTTTATTTATTTAAAAAGTATTCATTGAACATTTTATTTATTTATATGTCACCTTTTTGCTTAAAAAAAGGACCCAAAGGGGCTTGTATCATTAAAAACATATTATTAACAGTGAAAAACAATAAATTATTCAAATACAAAGAAGAACTAATAACATTAAATTTAAAATGCCAGGGAAAAGCATTATGAAAAACAGATTTAGAAGCAACAAAATATAAACCATTCAGTTCATTGTCTCCTAGACCAGTGGTCCCCAACCTTGGGTCTCCAGATGTTCTTGGGCTACAACTCCCAGGAGCCTTCACCACCACCTCTGCTGGCCAGGATTTCTGGGAACAGTCCAAGAACATCTGGAGGCCCAAGGTTGGGGACCAATGTCCTAGACAGTCAGTAAACTAAGGAAAAGACTGCCTGAAAAGTCTTCATCTGCTTGTGGACAGACAGCAAAGATGGGGCTAGCTTGGCCCCCTGTGGGAGGGAGTTCCAGAGTCTGGGAGAAGCGACAGGTAAGGCTCTCTCCTGTGTCCCCACCGAGAGAAGGACCAAGACAAAGTTATCCCATGTTGATCTTAACACAGAGACAGGCTCATAAAGGGAGATATGGTTTTTAAGATAGCTTGGACCCAAGCTGTTTAGGGCTTTGTAGGTTAAAATCAGCACTTTGAATTATGCCTATAAATGGATTTGGGAATGACAGGCAGAAGGTAAAGTGAAGTAACATATAAAGAGTTAAAAACTTCTAACTCAACTCATGGAATTAAAGAAAATAAGTTCACATTCAGTTTGAGAGAAAAGTGGAAGTTCCACTGAACTTACTAAAATAGAGTTCAATTTTCTACTTTAAAATGTCAATACAATTACCCAGGTAATCGTTATGCATGCAAGTTTTACTTACAGAATTCAATCACTTCCTAATGATGACATTTTTCATATGTCTTTGAAAATAATTTCTGTTCTAAAGTATGAAGAATGGGTCAATTACAGAAGCTAATAAGGCCCAGAAAACAGAAGTAGAAGGGAAATTCCGAAAACTGTCACAGTAGGCCCATCAAGCATCTCTGACATAAACAAAATTATATGCAAGAGAAGGATCTTAATTAAAAACCACCTGCTGCATCCATCTTTTTTTAAAAAAATAGCAAAATAATACTGGCATATAGGCAGCATCGTTCTTTAAATCAAAACACTTGTGCTGATTGGTGACCAATCATATGCGTTTGGTCACACTGAATGGATTATAGAAAGCCAAATATACATGACAATTCCACACAGAGTTCATTGAGTGTGAAACATACAGCCATGACTATTTCAGATGTTCTATACAGGTGTTGATTTCTAGATGCTGAAGAGAGGGATCAGCCTTGAATATGTCTGGGGATCTAGATCAAGTATGGGCAACTATGGCCTACTAGATAATTTGGGACTGCAATTCCCACGATCTTTTACTAGGGTTGATGGAAATTCAAGGGCCAACTCATCTAGAGAACAACAATTGCCCACTCCTAGATGAAGGTCACATAGGAACACAAAAAAGACAGAAATGATTCAACTACAACATATTTCCTTCTGTTAAATGCCCTTGTCGTGCACTCTTCCTTTTTAACTCCCTCCATTATAGTCACCAAGATCACCTTCCTTCCCTATTTGTGGTTACTATTGCTGCCAGACCCAAATTCCTAACTGTGAAAGACAGGCATTGTGGGACAATTGGGTTGGGACTTTCTCTTCCCTACATTCTCACTCTGCCTCACCAACCCATACATAAACAAACAAAAGGGCAAAGCTGCCCCTTTGGATCACCTCCCCTTCCAATCAACACATGAGAGGGCCTCCATCTTAACAGTTTCCTAGCATGTCTCTCCCCAAGGGAGCCAGGTTGATATTTGGAGGGGAGAGTCTTTGTTTTATTTAGCTTCTTTGGATCTAATCCATTTTGTATCTACAGGCTCATGTGCTGAGAAATGAATCAGACAAACTAACAATATTTAAGCATGACGTTTTGCTGGAGTTGTTTGGAGTACTGCAGTATGATAATAGCAGTAATTTCCTCCAGCGCATACCTGCTTACTGCACTTTGCACATCACCCCACTTTTGAATTACAGTTCCATTAATGCTAGGAGAGAAGCCATCCAGCATGTTTTCCATCTCAGTCAGAAACCTATACAAATCAAGTCAATATTTAAACAACTTGCCTGAAAGCCTATCATTATGATTATAATGTACAATGATAATGGTGATAGCTTAGTTTAAGGGTGGAAAAAAGTTTCAAGCTAGATCACCTACAATTTATACACACACAATTCCAATTTCCATTTCCAGATATCACAAAGCAATTTTTATTCAGCTACTGTCATTTCCAGCTGTTTCCCACACATAAGTCTCTGCACTCTCTTGCTCTCCAGTGAACGCCTGCCTTCTGCTTTCTTACTTTTGCATTGTGGAAATAACAGAAATAGTTTCCCAGGGGGGAAAAAGGCACACCTATTTGTCTGATCAGGTGTCTGATCAGGTAAACTGATGCCTGAACTTCTCCCTAAGAGTCTTACAGAACTTGATAGACCTCCAGGAAAAAAAAAATCAGAAGCCTCTGTTCCTCACAGCCGGCATTTATCTCAAAAGGGTTAATCCCTTTGTGACCCAGAAGAATATTTTGCACCTGCTCAACTTTGGAGAGCAAAGGAGGGGAGGGAATGTGACGTTTCAATAATATTCCTGTGACACAGTGGGGGGCAGACAGCTGTTGGTATGGAAGACAATGAGTGCAACCCATACCCTTCAAAGTATATTTGCATTTCACAGGCATTATTTGGAATGACACATTGTACTGTGATGTTATGTGAATGCACTTCAGTTTCTCAGTGTTTTAAGCTGGGACATATGATTTATTGGACTGAGGGAAAAATACCAACATGTTACCTGTGACAGGTATCTGTTTTATTTTCATTTATTTATTAATGGAAAGTATCTTCATTGGCATACTTTCTTACTACACGTGGGAGCTTTATTTATATTTATATTTATATCCCGGGGAACATGAATACAAAGCTCTGCACCACAGGTGCCATGGTAGTCCATTCCTGCTTACCAGAACCAGCCCAGTACACTCACCAGGCTCCAAGGGTGGATGTAGTCACACTAGTGCTTCCCCGCCTCTCCCCACAGCCAACCACTCCAGCAAGGGGACAGGGAGATGAGTCTCCTTGCTCAGCTGCTAAGCGGTTGGCTGAAGGGAGAGGTGGGGCAGGGCCTGTGAGACTGCATCCACAATTGGCGCAATGCCACCATTGTCAGATGTCTGCACTGGTTCTGGAGAGCAGGAATGGACCACCATGGCATGAGTATGAAGCTCCCATGTCTATATCTTATCCATAGTGTAGTCACCTGCAACATTTTACTTTTGGGGTAATGAACAATCTAAAAAATAGTTGCAAAGTAACAGTTACACAAAGTAGAAGTATTTACAAACTTACTTTTTAGGCATACTAAAATGTTTTCTAGTTACTTCCAAAAATATTAGTTTTTCTAGGCAATGATAGGCATTTTAAAGGCCCTTTGACAGGATTTTTGCAGGTTTTAGGACATTCTGTTTTCTAAGTTGCAAGGGAAGTATTATTTGGTTTTGTCTTTTGCATTTTTCTCAATACCTGCAAGTTATTCTATCAGAATTAACTGCAAAAGGAAAAAAAAGTGAGCATTCCCTTACATTTTTCTTATCTGTTGCTAGTGAGAACACAATGCATTAATAATGTGTGAAATGACAAATGACGCCTAATTCGGTTGTTAAGGAAGCTTGAGGTGCCCATATGTTTTAAGCAGCATGGCAAAGCTACTTCCTTTCTTTGCACGGAATATGGAAGCATAATGATCTGAAGAGGGAGATGCTGCTGTACTCAGGTAGCATCTTCATTTTAGCCAATTCCTCCCCCCCCCCCGGGGTTCTGCCTCATGTTGAGAAACTACTCAAATAAATAGCCTCCCCCTCCTTAGGCTACCCAAGTTAAATATGATGATGGAGAGAGTAGGGATAGCCTGTCCTCCCAACACATATGGGCTCCCTATATTTCCTTAAGGGCTCAATAGGGCTTCACTACAAAAAACAATAATGATAATGATGGCCGACAGCTGAAAAGCAGTGAGTTATACAATTACTTCCTTTTAACAAACTAGCATTCCAGTCTCCTTTCTTTGGCTAGATAGCCATACTGATGGCTTGGGAGTAGAGATCGGTACAAACTGGAAAAACAGCAAATTGGGATGGTTGATGAACTACCCTTGAACCCTGGAAAATGAACTGGTGTGTGGTTCATTTTTCTGGTTTGTGCCTGGAGGGAGGGGATCTTAATGCTTCCACCTCCTCTGCCCTCCCCCTGCCCTCTTCCCACTGCCCCATCATCTCCCTACCTGGTCCTGGCTTCTCCTCCACTGCCTCTGCCACCACCACCACCATCTTCAGAGATAACTGATAGTCATGCATATGCACAGAGGCAGCAGGCCCAGCTCCCAGAGGGGAAGCTGGGCTGCTGTCTCTGAAGACGGTGGTGGTAGAGGAGGCAGCTGATAGACTAATGATTCCTGCCTCTTCCTTCAGTATTATCCTACTGCTTAGGAATTGTGCCATTAAT